ATGGTGCTGAGCTAATTTCTTTAAGGAGTGAAGTTTCATCTATAAATGTCTCCATTAGTTACATTTTTTAGAAGTTCAATGGCTAAAGAGTGCCTTGTTTTCGTAATTTTTAATTTATTTATACTCAAGAAACAGATTCCTTTAAGCTACCAAAGAAGTGCGTAATACTTTTAAGTTATGTATGTGAAATTTCAGTTTTTAATTTCTTCTATGCCCGAGTTTTAGTTTAAACAATATATATAAACAATAAAAAACATTAAATAATAATAAAAAATATTTATTAATGGGGAATAAAATGGGAATGAAACAAATAAAAGTCTTTCAACCCTTATTTCTTGCGAACAGTTTGCGATATCTTTTGCGATACTTATTTGATATTTATGCCGACTCGGAAAAAATATTTTTTTTATATTCTATTTTGAATCGATAACGTATCACATTTACTATTTTATCCTTATCGCTAGAAATATCAAAACAACCTTGCAAAATATATCGTCAAATGCTCACTTACGTTATTTCTTGCAACTATCGTAAATGAAAGTTTCACTGCCACAAACTGAACGACATATTAATCATATTGCTATCGTTTCCCCATTCATTTGCGAGAGTTTTGCCGGGTTAAATCTCGCCTTTCAATCGCATGCGTTATCATATGCGAGCATTTGGTCCGCTGGGTTATTTTCATTTGAAAAGGATACTGCATGAGTTAATGCAAATAAAAAAGGTTTATGCAGATTAGCGAAGCCGTTTTTCAACCGTATAAAATGTATATACACATATTCTTACATACATATTTATCAAAATATTCAGAATGACGAAATGAATTGGTTCAGTCGTGTCTGTTTGTAAACCGCCTAACTCGAACAAAATTTATGTAGATATTTTAACAAAAGTCGGTGCCGAAGTTGCCTTTGGTATAATTAAGGTTAGTATTAAATTTTTGCGAAACCTGTCAATAACCACGACCTCCTCCCATGTAGTAATCAACAATATTTTTGTTTTATTATATTTTTTACGAATTTCGCTGTCAAAATTTACATTTCAAATATATCAACAAACATTTGTGGGTACTTTAGCACCAGTCATTGCCTATGGGTTAATGACAAAAGAATCCTATCCATGCATAATATTTCAAATAAGCATATTGTCAATGTCTGGTTTACTGTATACTGTGGTGTTTATATTCCATTGTAAACAGACAGAATTGTAACGATATGCTCATTGTGCGAAGAGTTCCGGCAAGGCTTCAAAATAGCAAAGACAGATGTTACGAGTGTCAACGATTCCGAGGAGTTTATATTTAGCATTGATACATTTGATATGGATAGGTATAATATTGACCCCAAATTGAACGCAGAGAATGCGAACGCCGTTAAAGGCATTATTGAGCAAAGTTACTCGACCTTCGACAAGATACCACAAATCCAGCATAAGCATGCTATGAAGATAAGGTTGAAATACGACGTACCAATTTCCTCCGCACCGCGTAGACTCTGATATAACGACTGCAAGGAAGTAGAGGAAATTGTCGATGAACTTTTGACATCAGGGCATATACGACCTAGCACATCCCCCTATTCGTCCGCGATTGTTTTAGTGAAAAAGAAAAGCGGTGAAAAAAGACTGTGTCGACTATAGGCAACCCAGATGGCTACCCTCTAGCGCGAATAGATGATTGTTTGGGAAAACTAGAAGGCAATGAATTTTTCACAATTCTAGACTTAAAAATCGAGTTTCATCAGGTAAAAGTTTCTGAGGACTCTATTAAATATATAGCTTTTGTCACGCCAACTGGGCAGTACGAGTATTTGAATATGCCTTTTGGTTAAAAAAAAAATGCTCCAGCTGCTTTCCAACGATTTATTAACTTCGTGCTTCAGCCTATTGTTAGTGAAGGAAACGTGGCAGTATACATGGATGATATTGATATTGAAATGGGTACTAACCATATATGTAATACTTCTATATTGGCAGTAAGCTAACTTCTCAATGTGTAAGCATTCCGAAATCAAAGCGAGACGGTCTAGTACCATTTTTGTCAATGTATTGTGTACTTGAGTGCCGTTTTTGTATATGTGTTGTGTACATGTTTATTTATAAACGTATGTGTTCCTTTTCTTTCGTACGTGTTTATTGATATATCTGTACTGTAATGTTTTCGGACGGTACTAGCTCTTACTGCCAATATAGGAGTATTACATATATGGTACTAACACGATTAGCCGAATTTCGGCTACAACTTAAGTTGAGCAAGTGCAAATTTTGCTTCAACGAAATAATCTTTAGGATTTTCCATAAGTAAACGTGGTATAACCCCAATGTTCAACATATTTCTGCTATTCGTCGTCTTCCGGTTCCTCAAAATGTATCAGATGTAGAAAAGTTTTTAGGCCTCTTCTCATATTTCAGAAGATCTATTCCTTTATTTTCAAGTATAGCAAAGCCACTTAACAACTTGACTAGGCCAAATGTCAAATTCGACTTCAGAGCCAATACTAGCAATATATAATTCCGATAAAGATACCGAATTGCACTGTGACGCAAGTATCAATAGGCTTGGTGGTATCCTTCTTCAAAAACAAGAAGATGGAAAGTTTCATCCAATATCATTTTCTCGCAAGCTACCACCCCCGCGGAATCGAGGTATCACAGCTTTGAGCTGGAAGCATTGGCAATAATATACCCTTTAAGGAAGTTTAGAATCTACTTGGAGGGAATCCAATGTAAAATCATAACTGATTGTAACTCATTGACCCTTACTCTAAATCGAAAGAGCGTTAACGCAAGAATAGCCAGATGGGATCTTGAGTTAGAAAACTATAATTACGTCATTCAGCATAGAAGCGGAAAGTTCATGGGGCATGTGGACACCTTAAGTAGGTGCTTCTAGACGCCCGTAGGCATTCAAGCCTTCGATAGTGCAGATCAGGTAGTTTCCGTAATAGATGATGATAGTGTTTACCTACAATTGCAAGTCACCCAGAACAGGGATGAGCTCATATCAAATCTAAAAGATGAATAGGAATCCGCACCTGTAAAAAACTATGAACTTGACGATGGAACATTGTTATTATACGTGCCTGCAGTGATGGAAAACAATGTTATTCGGCTGGTTCACGAAAAACTGTGTAATATGGGTACTGCTAAATGTATTGCCGAAATAAAACGCTATTATTGGTTCCCTAATATGGATAGCAAGGTAGATCATTTCATCAAGAACTGTTTAAAACGCATGATGTTTAGTGTAGCTGGACATGCAAATAATGGAACATTAAACAATATTCCCAAGAAACCTGTCCCTTTTCATACTCTTCACGTTGATAATTTCGGGCCCCTTCCGACTGTAGCTTCAAAAAGGAAACATATATTAGTTATTGTGGATGCCTTTACATAATACGTAAAATTGTATTCAGTCAATTCAACCAGAACAAAAGAGGTAATCGGGGTCTGAGTAAATTTTTCGAATATTATAACCGGCCTGAGATAATAATCAGCGATACAGGAAGTAGTTTTACGTCCCTAGAGGTTAGTTTCTTTTTAATGCTCCCCTATCACCGACTGTAGCAGATATTGTTTTGGACAAAATACTAGACGACAGCACCGCTGAATTGAAAACCAAGGACATATATATTAAATACATCAATAAGTATGTAGATGATATATTTGGTATTGTAAATAAAAATGACGTGGAAGAAATAGGTAAAACTTTAAATGCCCAACATAGGAAAATCCAGTTCACGACTGAAGTTGAAGAGAAACAAAAATTAACTTTCCTAGACATGGAAATATACAACATAAACAAAAAATTTTCAACAATCTGGTATACTAAAGATATAGCTTCTTCCAGAATTATTAATTATCACTCGAATCACCCCTGGACGCAAAAAAGGAACACTGCTATCAATCTCATAAAGAAAATCCACGCGTTGAGTGACCAGGAGTTCAGCAATGCAAACAACAGAAAGATAAAAAACATATTACACAAAAACGGGTACCCCAATAATATTATAAACAAGCTTATAGCAACAACAACACAAACAAACGAAAGTCAGCAGGCATGGGCATTGAAGCTGTAAATAAACATGAACACAAAAAATTCGCAGGAGTCACATATATACATGGATTAACGGATAATAAACATTATACAAAAATATTCCAAACGAAAATATAACCTTTACCCACAAACCAAACTACACACTGAGCACAATTTTCAGCAAAACAAAGGACAAAATCAACAAGGAACAATAACACAATGTGGTTTACGAAATTAAATGCAAAGAGAAGGTTGGCGAAACCTGCAATAAAGTATACGTAGGCACGACAAAGCGAGCACTGAATAAGAATTTTTCACCGTTGTGTAAACAGTGAGTTAGGTATTTGCAAATTATAATTATTTTTTACGTTTAATGGTCTACGTTCGTGTCGTCTATGGTCATTGATTTTCATTTCACTGTAAATTTTATATTCTGATAATCTCAAAATAGGAGTGTGTTTGCAAGAGAGTGAAACACTCCGATCGGTGTGAAAACGGCAACGCTGTCCATTTAGATCTTGAAGTAATGGCCTGTTTACCACATTTTTAAGGTAAAGGCTTGTTCACACTATGTCAAATTCAATGGCATTTGTCGTCAAATAAGTGAAAACACATTGTCAAACTGGATTAAACATCGATCAATTTCGATCAGGATACGTACGTGCGCTGCTAAATCGGATATATATCTGTCTGTTTCTGGCTCATAAAATCATCGGTAAAGGTATGGATAAAGGAGATAAAGTTGTATCAAAATATGTCGAGAAATTTTGCCGTAAAAATATGACTTAGTGAAAACTAGCCTTAGTATTAATTTAAAAATCGTTGCTATGAATACTATGAACAAGTTGAATAAAATAAAAAAGCGTAGTAAAAATAAGGCAAAGCGTAGTGGGGTAGCAAATTTTTGAAAAATCGTAGCAAATTTACTACAATAATAGATAGCAAAGTGTCAACGCTGTTTGTCAGTGCACCAAATTTAAATCAGCAAGAGCTGTAAGTTAGCAACGGAGAGCAGCTAAGGAACTTAAGTGGCAACCAATGAGGTGTTATAACCAGCTATTTAGTTGAAAATGTCTCGCTGCTTTGGACAGTTGTATTCGTATGCACTAGGTCCGTCGGTAATATTTTGGTAAATTTTTTTATATTCTTTTGATAAACTGCGATTTATTAGTTCAATAATATAAATACAGACGTATGGATGTATTTTATTGAGTGAATAATTTTCAACAAATCTAACGCACACACACCTACGCTGTTACCAAAAAAGAGAAACAATGTGTGGCTGTTAACGAAATTTCGCTGTTAATGGAGTAGTCACTCCCGAGTGCGCTGCGGTTTTACATACATACATACATATGTATGCACGCACATATTTTAGATGTGTGCCTTAACGCTCCAAATGTGTTTGTTATAAAATATAACCAGTTAATGAGTGTTTGACTTGTACATACATCAGTGATCGGACTTCAAAAAAATTGTGTGTATTTTTTCCTCCTATTCTGCCTATTAGTGTTTAGTGTTGGGCAATTTTTGTTCTTAAAATTAAGACAATTATGTCGAGCTAAAATAAAACTACTCAAAACGCGAATATGTGGTAGATTTCAGACCTTGTGTGGTAGATGTGGTGGATGCTCAAAAAAGTGGCAGATCTGGGATAATGTGGTAAAAGTCCGATCACTGAAATACATATGAACATGTCGTCGTTTAGGGTACAAAACCGCGTAAAATACTATACTAGCCAGAAATGGGATTGCTTTGTAAAAAAGGGAACCATTTTGAAATATGAGTGTTTTAACTCTCTAGAAAATAATTTATGCAACCTCACAAACTCGGTTTTGCATTTTGTTGATACGCGGTTTTGTACTTTCAACGACGATATGCACTTGCACATGCATGTGTATGTTAATACCTACGATTAGTTAACCCTTTTCGAAAACATTGCATCTTCGAACCGATCGCGTTTGTGGACACACCGTTGTTACTGGCAGTTCTACCGAAAGTGAATTGGAATTTAAAATAATATCTACAGCAGCAGAAGTTAGAATCAAACAAGTAAACTCGTTTCACGATTTTTGTTTATGTACATATCGTACGTCTGCTGCAAGAGTGTCATAATCCAAAACGGGAAAAACGGCATTAATGTTTTGAATTTACATATACACAACATACAAAATGCTTGTAACTTGTAAACTTAACAAAAAACTTTAACCACAAACGCGGTTTTGGCGCTTTTTGGGCGTTGTCGCATATGGCTTATGTTGCGGGCTACGATTGTTTTGTGTTAAAGTAAGGCGTGCATACGTATCGCATCCTCAATAAAAAACAGTCAATACTCAAAATTTCTCAAAATTTACTTTTTCCTATAAAACAGTTCACATACCATATTTTTAATGTCCGCGAAATTTGTTTCTTATCACTATCTTCTTTACCTGAAAAATAGCATTAAGACTTGTTTTGCTTGGGTCGCTTGCGCAGCAGCAACAGGTTTTTTGCCTCTTCTGAACGGGAATTTTTTGAGTTGTGACTGTTTCGGGTGTTTTAGGGTGCGATATGTACATATGTATGTACCTTTAAATACGCACGTCCATTTAAGCATTTAATTTTTATCAGAATTGATTTCATTCATGAAAAAGCCATAACAATTTACTTACATATGTATGTATGTATGTATGTATTTACATTGTGTATGCGACTGTTGTAAGTGTGTGAATTGAAAATAAGATTAGATTCAACAAAGAGATATATGTACGTACCCTGCAGAAATAAATTAAACCGTGCTAGTCGAAAATTTGAACATTGATGTGTCATATGTGGTAAACATAATTCGAGAAAGCTTTTTTTCAGTGACCACAGCCGTTTTTGGTTTGGCTGAAGTTTTCGAGTTATTCGCCTTTGAAAATTTCTCCAAAACACCTGGTTTTTGGCAAAAGTGCAGTATAGCAGCAGGTGAGATAAAAAAGTGAAAAATTGGGAGTGGTTCAGATTTTAATGGTGTACCCAAATAAAGGCAGCCAAGTCATTGGAGCCATTTCAAGGGGGGCATCGAAATTGCGCATATGGAAACTGTGCACTTAGACATTACTTCGGTTTCAACCGAAACTGTGCATGTATGCTTTATTTCGGTTTTTGCCATATGCATTATTTCGGTTTTTAACCGAAATCAGGTTTCGCAGATTTTGGATTACATATTGTAAGGTATCGGACAACATCAATATTAATACGAATCTCCTTCTCTCGAACATGAAAATTCACTTAATCTTGAGACACCTTTAAATAAACGAAAATTGAAAAAGCACAACATGAAACTAAAGGGTTGCTTATATAAGGTGCGCCACTTTTTTCACTATACTTGCCTCTCTTCGCTTGCCTTGTATTATTTTAAAGTTAATAAAAAAAGTATTCGACAAAAAAATCAGGGATTCGCTTTCTATATAAAAATCAAGTCCGCAGTATTTTTAAATATAATGTAACAGTCCAAAATACTAAAAAGTTTTTTGGCGCGGAATCCACCAAGCTAAAAAAAAGGAAAATATAGTTTTCTTCGAGCATTTTCGGCCTTATTTCACAGTAAAATGAAATACTCTTCATTACCAATATGTTTTCGGTGGGCAGCTATTTGTAACGTAACAGTCTTTTGAACTAATTAAATTTTTAGGCACCCTTGTTTTCCTATTTAGTTAAACATGGGGCTCATTTTAAAACTTTTTTTTTTCTAACTTATGTAAACTGAAAAGATAAGAATTACGTAGAAAAATAAAAAACGTGAGAATTATAGAAAAGAACGAACTCAAAAGAAGCGAAATAAGAAGCTTAAAGAACAAGAAGATTTTCCGATTAAATAATAAAAAATCTATTGGAATTATTTCGGCTATTTTACCTAGTACTACAAAAAGTCCTCAAATCTAATATTTGAAGGGTAAGAATAGTACTAAATTGCATAGAGAAAACAAAATAAGCCGTTTTTCGTGAAATTAACCGCGAAAAACTCAACATCTTGGCGCAGTTTTAAGATCGAGTTCGAGTTCTACGCAGAAAATTACTTCGGAAACGACCTACAGCTGCACAGCATTAGAAACTTTGAAATCTGTATTCATAATTATCATGTTCTTAATTTCTTCGAATTACTTGTCACATCGCAAAACTACTGAATTCAGCTACTTATTGCATAAAAAGCACTAAAAGCGACTTAAGTACCTAATTATAATCTTATCGCTACACCTATATCGCACAGGTAACGTAACAGTCTATTTATGTAACTTACCAGTCCGACTATTTTTTTACAAATATTGACCTCAAAATTAATTTTATCAGTTCAATTAATACGTAGTTCTTGAATTCCACTCTGAAGCTAGGAAACTGTGTACCAACTTTTGACAAAATTATATTAGGAGAGCAGACTTTTTCANTGCTTATATAAGGTGCGCCACTTTTTTCACTATACTTGCCTCTCTTCGCTTGCCTTGTATTATTTTAAAGTTAATAAAAAAAGTATTCGACAAAAAAATCAGGGATTCGCTTTCTATATAAAAATCAAGTCCGCAGTATTTTTAAATATAATGTAACAGTCCAAAATACTAAAAAGTTTTTTGGCGCGGAATCCACCAAGCTAAAAAAAAGGAAAATATAGTTTTCTTCGAGCATTTTCGGCCTTATTTCACAGTAAAATGAAATACTCTTCATTACCAATATGTTTTCGGTGGGCAGCTATTTGTAACGTAACAGTCTTTTGAACTAATTAAATTTTTAGGCACCCTTGTTTTCCTATTTAGTTAAACATGGGGCTCATTTTAAAACTTTTTTTTTTCTAACTTATGTAAACTGAAAAGATAAGAATTACGTAGAAAAATAAAAAACGTGAGAATTATAGAAAAGAACGAACTCAAAAGAAGCGAAATAAGAAGCTTAAAGAACAAGAAGATTTTCCGATTAAATAATAAAAAATCTATTGGAATTATTTCGGCTATTTTACCTAGTACTACAAAAAGTCCTCAAATCTAATATTTGAAGGGTAAGAATAGTACTAAATTGCATAGAGAAAACAAAATAAGCCGTTTTTCGTGAAATTAACCGCGAAAAACTCAACATCTTGGCGCAGTTTTAAGATCGAGTTCGAGTTCTACGCAGAAAATTACTTCGGAAACGACCTACAGCTGCACAGCATTAGAAACTTTGAAATCTGTATTCATAATTATCATGTTCTTAATTTCTTCGAATTACTTGTCACATCGCAAAACTACTGAATTCAGCTACTTATTGCATAAAACACACTAAAAGCGACTTAAGTACCTAATTATAATCTTATCGCTACACCTATATCGCACAGGTAACGTAACAGTCTATTTATGTAACTTACCAGTCCGACTATTTTTTTACAAATATTGACCTCAAAATTAATTTTATCAGTTCAATTAATACGTAGTTCTTGAATTCCACTCTGAAGCTAGGAAACTGTGTACCAACTTTTGACAAAATTATATTAGGAGAGCAGACTTTTTCAATAATATAAAGCAACTTTAAAAAGTACTTCCAAAAATTGTAATGCAACAGTCCNTAGGCACCCTTGTTTTCCTATTTAGTTAAACATGGGGCTCATTTTGAAACTTTTTTTTTTCTAACTTATGTAAACTGAAAAGATAAGAATTACGTAGAAAAATAAAAAACGTGAGAATTATAGAAAAGAACGAACTCAAAAGAAGCGAAATAAGAAGCTTAAAGAACAAGAAGATTTTCCGATTAAATAATAAAAAATCTATTGGAATTATTTCGGCTATTTTACCTAGTACTACAAAAAGTCCTCAAATCTAATATTTGAAGGGTAAGAATAGTACTAAATTGCATAGAGAAAACAAAATAAGCCGTTTTTCGTGAAATTAACCGCGAAAAACTCAACATCTTGGCGCAGTTTTAAGATCGAGTTCGAGTTCTACGCAGAAAATTACTTCGGAAACGACCTACAGCTGCACAGCATTAGAAACTTTGAAATCTGTATTCATAATTATCATGTTCTTAATTTCTTCGAATTACTTGTCACATCGCAAAACTACTGAATTCAGCTACTTATTGCATAAAACACACTAAAAGCGACTTAAGTACCTAATTATAATCTTATCGCTACACCTATATCGCACAGGTAACGTAACAGTCTATTTATGTAACTTACCAGTCCGACTATTTTTTTACAAATATTGACCTCAAAATTAATTTTATCAGTTCAATTAATACGTAGTTCTTGAATTCCACTCTGAAGCTAGGAAACTGTGTACCAACTTTTGACAAAATTATATTAGGAGAGCAGACTTTTTCAATAATATAAAGCAACTTTAAAAAGTACTTCCAAAAATTGTAATGCAACAGTCCGCTGTTGAAACATTCATAACTCCTAAACCACAGGAGTTACAATATATTTTTGTATATAATAAATAATGCCACATACTTATGCTTTCAGATGCAAGAAGTAAAATTATCCGAAAATTGTATTCTCGCGAGTTTCAGCGGTATTTAAAAATCAGTGTGAGCCCAAATGTAATGAAAGAAGTTCTGCGCAAAAATACTTCCGGCCCCCTTTTCCGGCAACACAAAAAGAAGAATTCTACTTAGTACGGGTTAAAATCCCTAAGCGCGGCGGAAGGCCGCCTACGCAGAGAGAAGTTCTGCACAAAAATCCTTCCGCCCTTCTGTTCCGGCAACACAGAAAGGAGAATTCTACTTAGTACGGGTTAAAATCCCTAAGCGCGGCGGAAGGCCGCCTACGCAGAGAGAAGTTCTGCACAAAAATCCTTCCGCCCTTCTGTTCCGGCAACACAGAAAGGAGAATTCTACTTAGTACGGGTTAAAATCCCTAAGCGCGGCGGAAGGCCGCCTACGCAGAGAGAAGTTCTGCACAAAAATCCTTCCGCCCTTCTGTTCCGGCAACACAGAAAGGAGAATTCTACTTAGTACGGGTTAAAATCCCTAAGCGCGGCGGAAGGCCGCCTACGCAGAGAGAAGTTCTGCACAAAAATCCTTCCGCCCTTCTGTTCCGGCAACACAGAAAGGAGAATTCTACTTAGTACGGGTTAAAATCCCTAAGCGCGGCGGAAGGCCGCCTACGCAGAGAGAAGTTCTGCACAAAAATCCTTCCGCCCTTCTGTTCCGGCAACACAGAAAGGAGAATTCTACTTAGTACGGGTTAAAATCCCTAAGCGCGGCGGAAGGCCGCCTACGCAGAGAGAAGTTCTGCACAAAAATCCTTCCGCCCTTCTGTTCCGGCAACACAGAAAGGAGAATTCTACTTAGTACGGGTTAAAATCCCTAAGCGCGGCGGAAGGCCGCCTACGCAGAGAGAAGTTCTGCACAAAAATCCTTCCGCCCTTCTGTTCCGGCAACACAGAAAGGAGAATTCTACTTAGTACGGGTTAAAATCCCTAAGCGCGGCGGAAGGCCGCCTACGCAGAGAGAAGTTCTGCACAAAAATCCTTCCGCCCTTCTGTTCCGGCAACACAGAAAGGAGAATTCTACTTAGTACGGGTTAAAATCCCTAAGCGCGGCGGAAGGCCGCCTACGCAGAGAGAAGTTCTGCACAAAAATCCTTCCGCCCTTCTGTTCCGGCAACACAGAAAGGAGAATTCTACTTAGTACGGGTTAAAATCCCTAAGCGCGGCGGAAGGCCGCCTACGCAGAGAGAAGTTCTGCACAAAAATCCTTCCGCCCTTCTGTTCCGGCAACACAGAAAGGAGAATTCTACTTAGTACGGGTTAAAATCCCTAAGCGCGGCGGAAGGCCGCCTACGCAGAGAGAAGTTCTGCACAAAAATCCTTCCGCCCTTCTGTTCCGGCAACACAGAAAGGAGAATTCTACTTAGTACGGGTTAAAATCCCTAAGCGCGGCGGAAGGCCGCCTACGCAGAGAGAAGTTCTGCACAAAAATCCTTCCGCCCTTCTGTTCCGGCAACACAGAAAGGAGAATTC